GTAGATTTGACGAACCGGTTCTACCGAATAGGTGCGAACTGGTAGGAACCCACCTCTGCTCTGCAACCAGGTCAAGCCCACCTACCTCAGTGACAAAGATGACGAACTCCTCCGGGAGAATCCAGGAACGGGGGTAGAAGTTATACTCTTCGGGGAAAAGCTCCTGCATCGTCCTCATGGCACGGCTCAGGTTGGCCTTGCGTGCCATTTCGGTCATGCCTGGTGGGGGAGAGGAGGAAGCGTTGGGGAAGGGCAGAGGCCCACTGAGGTGTCTCAGCCCAGGATGCCCCAGCCAAGGGCCAGAGAAGCCAAGATGCTCTCCTCCAAGGGGACCATTCCCAGCGCTGAGACTGAATCTCTTCCTTACAGATGATGGATTGGGGCGTCTGTATCCTCGGATGACTCTTCCTTGCTGTCCAACCTATTCATTCTATTTTACTATTTTATCGATCGTTCGCCTGTCTAAGCAGCCTCACCAACTGGCCAAAGGATCCATTAAGCTGATCGACTTAATGATGACAAATTAAACATATCGGGTGTTAAAAGTTCCCTGTCGTGGAGGCTGCAGCCCCTCCCGTCATATTGGGTAGGAGGGCTATTTTATTTCTCTGACACAAGAATCCCAAACCTGCTTAACTTTCGCAGCAGAACGAGCTTATGAATTTGCAAGTTTTGCACCACCAGGGTGGAAATGTGCACAGCCCAATTTATCATTTATTGATCAGTCTGTGTGATATTCAAATATTCCCCTGCTTTTCAAAGTACCCAAGAATGAGACTTGCTCGCTGCCGAAGGTTTTCTTCAGACCGAGGAGCTCACACTTTGCAGCCAGGGGAGAAAACAGCCCCAGGATTTAATTACACTTGGAAGGAGCTGTCTTTTTTTGCCAATTGGATCCCAAGGAAGGACTTTTTATAGATCCACAATAAAGCAGAGGCAGGAACAGCGATGAGCCAGAAATGTGGCCCTTCCTTAGCGGGATTCAGGAGGAGATTAATGGTAAATCAGGGAGCATTAAGAGGTTTAATAGCCCCAATTTCAAGGAAAGGTTGTCTTAAATTCCTCAGTGCTTAAAAGAAAATGGCCCATCGGAGAGATCTCTCTTGGCAGAATAAAGAGACAGGATGACTTTGACTGTCCACTGAGGGATGATTAGGTTTTTCAGCAAAATCAAGTAACAGCAAATGTTTATTAGGGGCGCAGAGCCCGTGATTTATTGGGGCATGGCTTCCACCCAGAAATCAACTCCTCCACCATAGGGTTCCGGTTTGTTCCATGAAAATATACTCCCGCCACCAAAACCAAGAACCAAAAAGACTAGAGAGGGGACACAATTCAGTGATGGGCATTTAAAACATTGACAGGTCCTCTTGATGCTCTCTGCGCTTGGCTGTTTTCTTGCAGATGTTTCGTGACCCAATTAGGTAACATCATCAAGGCTAGAAGGGAGTGGTGTTTGCTCTCTGTTCTAGCACTCGCCCACTCCCTTCCAGCACGGATGACGTTACCTAGTTGGGTCGTGAAATGTCTGCAATAAAACAGCCAAGCTCAGAGAGCACCAAGAACCCCGCAGTTCTCCTCTTCCTTCTCTTCCTCCTCCTCCTCTCAGAAAATCCAACTCCCTTCTAGCACTGATGATGTTACCTAGTTGGGTCATGAAATGTCTGCAATAAAACAGCCAAGCTCAGAGAGCACCAAGAACCCCGCAGTTCTCCTCTTCCTCCTCCTCTCAGAAAATCCAACTCCCTTCCAGCATGGATGACGTTACCTAGTTGGGTCGTGAAATGTCCGCAAGAAAACCAACCAAGCTCAGAGAGCACCAAGAACCCCGCAGTTCAACCCTGAGCTGCAAATATTTTCCTGCACTGGTATTTAAAACATTATAAGAAATACTCTCCCCCCTCTTGAAGACGATCAGCTCAGAGAGCACCAAGAACCCCACA